TTGAGAAAAATTCTATACATGCCTCGGCGGGAACGGGGATTGCTTGACTCGTATTAATACAAGGCCTCGTTGGCGCTCGTCCTTGTGACTCACACTCGTCCAGCAATTCCTTACTTCCCGGCCTCTGCAATAATGTACTATTACTATATCGTATGTATAGTAAAGTAAATAAGGTATATATATAGCCTGAAATAAATGGCTAAATAAATTTAAAAAATAGAACTAGGCACCCTTGTAGACAGGGGGAGTATGCGTTATGAAAATTAGCTGCTTTTCGAGAACAGTGGCTGCTCAAACTAAACTGCCTCTGTTACCAAACGGGTTCGATTCCCGCGTCGAGATAAATTTGTATGACTTACATTTATTTCTCTTGGGTTTGGGTGTAATTTGTGTGGCCATGGCGCCTACGATACAGGGTTTCCCTAGAACGGAGCTGTCAGTGTGTGCGTCGTTATTATTATTCTAGTGGCCCAAATTAAAATAGTTCATATTTATCTTATTACCAATGATCGGAATTGAGGGCGTTAATTGCGTTAAAAATTTGTTTTTTTATACTCCGTCCAACCATTTATGTAACTTTTGTCTTGTACATGCCTCCGAAGTTCCGTAATTATTGACATACAACCATAGGCAAAAAATGCAATAATTCCTGCACTCTTTTATTTTTGAATTTAGTGAAGCGACATGCTCTTTAGCACCGATGTTTATCGAGCCAATAGATTGTATAACGAAGAATATTCAAGTTGGTAAATGTTGGTACCTGTCTAATAAATCATTATGAAATGGAATAAATTATAAATAATTATAATAAATTCTTATTATTTATTATAATGAATCGTCGTATACTTCTCCATATGAACGGGAATCATCACTTTGATAATCATATTATTGATTCTTGAGCACACAAATTGGCAAACGCAACATCGCAATCCCAATAAGACAGTATCTTCTTTTTTTAACCTGTTCAATATTAATCGTGAACGATTAAATCTTCATAAATAAAATTGATTGTTGTAAATAATGGAATCGGGAATTCGAGCTGTCAAATGTTAAATAAATGTTTGGACCATCGAGTATATAACCAGAAAATAGAGACAAAATAAGTGTCTTCCATCAATAAAAAAATGGTACATATCACTTTTAAGGTATCACAAACTCCAATTTTTTTTTCCGAAGTAACGTTTGTTCGAATTTTCATTACACCGAAAACCGAATTATAACGAAACCGTTGTTCTTGCTAGATATGTTGGATGTTTATTACAAAGACACGATTAGGTTCGGTTAAATTAGGTTTAAAAGAAAAAACATTTTCCTCTCAAAATTACTTTCGTGGTTGTCGTAATCGGTCGTAAATGTCATTTCCGACTACTAATAGGTAACCTACTTTTAAATATCGACTCTCGTTTGCGCTGAAATCACAAATCAGAAATAGTAGCGCCAACAACTGACCTGTGTGTATGTTTCCGTATATTCCAAAAGTATTGTGTATTTATTGTAATAAAGATAATATCTCTAACTACGGAGATTGTTCCATTCGGTGGTGTGGGAATAACAGCAATACATCTAATTACGAAACGACCGGAATCACATTTCATTGGTAATTAAATATTAATTATAGCAAAGCTCAAGTTAAACTGGTTGCTTTGAACTGAAACAATTTCGAATTCGGGCTGGCCAATCGGAGCGCAGTTGTCACCGTAATGATATGGCAAAATAGTTTTCAAACAAATTAAATAACATTTCGTCTCTTTTTCTGGTTATATACTCGATAGGTTGGACAGAGTATGTTGTTTATTTAGTAAACAGTCCAAAATGAGACATGTTTATTTTTTAAATAGCTAAAGTATTTAAATACAGTACAACATCAATATTTTTTTGAACAACAATTTGTATTTCTAAGTTCAAATTATTGTTTCAGGTCGCAGCTTGGGACGAGCACTCGGAAATGTGCTCCGGATGAAAGTAAGCGCTACATAGAAATAGGACTGTATGTATTGTTAAGTTAAGCCAAGCGTCTCAACGCAACGTGTAGAATTGCCTTATTATTACTATGTCGATAGGTGAATCTCTGTAAGTTATGCTTTCACTGTCTTGACAAGGGATGGAGCCATTTTTTTTTCATATATGTGTTTTTTTTAACCTAAGCATACGTATGTAAAATTTCTTTTTTTTTATTCTTCTAAAAGGCATTTAAAAATAGCTGGTAATACAAAAACATCGATAACTCTTTTCCCTATCAAGCTGGTTTTTCTATCTGTTTAAAAAATCATTGAATCAAATTATATAAACAAATATTTTGTTTCCCTCCTGCTTGGTATCCGGAAGCGAGATACGAACAGCGACCTTAGCAGTTACGCCATAGACACGACAAAATATGCGGTTCATGAAAAAGAGCAGGTACTAAATTTAGCTGATAGAATGCAGCTGCATTTACGCGCGTGCTACTTCCCACGAGGATTAAGTTCAAACGCCACACTTGAGAAAAGAAATAAAGAAAATAATTCTTTGATTTAAACTTCCACAATTTCACACATTTGAGTTTTAGTTCTGTACTTAATCGGGACTAAAACTGCCTCCGTGACCGAACCATGCTGGCCTGACACGCAGAGGTCCCGGGTTCGATTCCCGGGCCGGATGAAATATTTGTACGGCCTACATTTATTTCTGTCGTGAGTTTGGGTGTAATTTGTGGTTGCCCATGTGTGTGTCCATGGCACCTGCGATGCAGGGTTTCCCTAGTGCGGGGCTATGAGTGTGTTCTCATTAGTTCGGGACATAATATGAAACGTCCATGGTACCTAGGGATCTGAAGAGGCGGGTGTTAACATCTTCTACCCGTCCGAGTTTTTCTAAGTACCCACACTTGATCTTCATTATTTATTTGTGCACTCGGGTTGTCACTAGACCAACAGACACAACTTATCGAGAGCATCGACGTTGCAATACGTCCGAAACGTCGAGGTAATTAAAATATGTTTTATACATTATTAAGCCCCGAAGTAAAAATCAAACAATGGAGAAAGAAAAGAAATTTATTCAGCACAATACAATCATGTGTACGAGTACAATATTATGATTTTATGACTGAAAGTGTATTCAGTGAAAAGGGCCTAACTCAGCAAATACTGCATCGGAGCCACAGCGCTGGTTTCCGAACCAACCTGAGCGAAAAACCGTTACGAATTTTACGAATCGCGATCGAGCAAAGTGGCGCGCGCGTAAATTGTCAAAGCGTATTTTAATGATACCCATAGCGCGTTTGTGCGCTGCATCCGATTCGTGTTTTTACCGAATCAAATACTATGCAAATTTAGAAATCTCGGACCTACTTCGAATGTCGCTTGTACACCTACAGATAAAATGGCTCACTGGACACCTGTGACATTTCGGATCGTCATTTCGGATTCGGAACTGGGGGGGAACTCTCGATCTCCGTCCGACATCCGTCCGAAACAATTACTGCCAAATAAGCAATTCTTGACCACATGAAAAGACGCGTGATGCGAATGAAGCTTCATACTTGATACTTGTCTTTTAATTTTGTCGAATATTACTTATTTGACAGTAATTGTTTCGGACGGACGTCAGACGGAGATCAAGAGTAGACCCCCTGAATCGGACGTAGTGCGCAAGCGCTCTAACAGTAACTGACAATTTTCATCAAATTTGCAAGTTACGTAAAAGTTACGTAAATTCGTGCTAAAAGATATGTCCCACTACTGAACACGGATCTCTACATGTTGATACTGAAAAATGGCTGCATCCGATACGAGAAATAAATAAAAAGACTTAGAAATAGTCTGCATGTAGCATGCTGTGTCATATTGCCTTCTGTTGAACTTTCATTTCGTCCTAGGCAGTTTTTTTCTTCAATAGATATTTAAGATAACGATTTTTTAATTGTTAAAGGCAACTAAATTGCAAATATATAAGGTGTATATGACGAAATGACAAGCGGTATTATATGAGGACAAAATACAAAGAAAAAGGCGTACGTATTGTATTCTGATGATTGTTTTACAAACCACGGGCTTGTTTTGTGTATGAAAATCTAATGTCAGTACAGTGGTAACTTTTATAAAGAGGATTGTCTTTGAAAAGGTGGTACACTAAATTACTCTAGAAAAATACTGTTTAAAATTGGCAATTGGGTTTATTTGTGAGATGAAAAAATTAAAAAATATAGAGTTTTAGGTTTTCGCGATTTTTATACGTTGGAAATGATGAAAATTAAATGGTACTATGTTTTCCGGATTCCAAATCGCGTATATTTCGCATACGAAACCAAATACTGTCGTAACTCAAAATTGTGAAAAAAAAAAACTAATGACGCCATTGACTTACAAATAAATGGACGACGGGTCTAAACCAAAAACCACGAAAAAAATGTCCCAAGTCAACCTATTTAAACGTAGTGACATGTAAAGAAATATAAAAATACTAAAACGTGGAATTTAAATTGTAATGTCATCGCAGTACTGTTTAATTTTGGTTGCTTCGCTGTCAGTCGAACAAACGAAGACTAAAGCGTGAATGACGCTATGTATACGATTTTAACGCCCTATAAGTTCGGACACTGTTTAGCGCGGACCCGACGTCCATATAATTGTAAGTCAATGAATGACACCAATATATACCGCGACACAGGTATCCCTTTTTCGTTTATAAATGGATAATTAAATATAAAAGTAATTTATTTATTTCAGACAACATTTAAGGTTCATTTTAATGTTAGTAGAGCTTACCCTAGATTAATACTTAATAACTAACAATGAAATTGGTTTTTATGCGCGTTTACTTACACATCATTAGGTAATCAGGCCTATCAGCTGTCGCTTTCAGGATACCGTTAGCTCCCGCGCATTCTGTTCAACATCGTACCAGTTTTCTTTAGCCAGATTACGTCAAAACCGTCTACGCGTGCGTCTGTGAACAGGCCCGAGGCACTGCAAAAGCGGGGGAGCTGCAACAGCACTCTGAATGCATTATTAAATTGGACTCGCAGAGCATTGTACGTTTTTTGAGTACATTTGAACACACAAACTTGCCGTGTACGGTGATGGAGACAAGACTTGTGAAGGTGACTGCATGATTGATAAATAATTCCTAGTTTTCAGTCTTTTAATGCTAATTAACGTAAAAAATTAATGATAATCACAATTTTGAGTTACGACAATATTTGATTTCGTATGCGATTTGTTTTTTGAAACAAATCCAGTTTTGGGCACTTTGTAGATCCGAAGGATAGTTTCATTCCGGTTACCTATCAGTAGCCCGAAATGACATTTTCCAGAAATAACGTTTGCTTGAATTTTCATAACTTCGAAAGTAATTTTGAGAGGAAAATGTTTTTTCTTTTAAACCTAACTTAACCTCACCTAACCGAGTCTAATCGCGTCTTTGCGATAAACATCCAACATATACTGAAAGAACAACGATATTGTTATAATTCAATTTTCGGTGTAATGAAAATTCCAACAAAAGTTATTTCGTAAAAAAAAATTCGAGTTTGTGATAGGTTACCTTTCATTCCCAATAATTGGGAATGTCGTTCGTTGTGAAAATGGTGTAACGCCATAGTTTTAAAATACATATTTTTTGCTTATGTGTAACATTTAAGACGCATATCTTTTATTGTAAAAGTGAAGTAACTCCAGTGATTGCACTTAAACCCTATAGATGGCGTTACTGGTTTATTATTTAATGTCATGAAACTAAAACTGCTAAAATATTCATTTTAAAAGTGAATAAGTCACAAAATTTAATAAGCAGATAATTCACTTTTACAATGAACGACAATTTTTGGTTGGTTGTTTGAAGAAACAAATGTTAGCGATTTTAGATTCCGAAAAGTAGTTCAATTTCCAATTGAATAATATTGTTAGAAATGTAAATCGAATTGTAAAACTCTCGCCAGATTTACCTTTTGTATTTTCTGCCTCCCAAGAATGTTCCTATGCAAGTCACAATATGTATGAATTCATTGACTACTTTAAAAAAAATCCAAACACAAATACTTTTTATTTATTTAAAATATATAATTAGCATAATATGTACGGGTTGTGTGGGTTAAAACTGTAGAAATTAAACGGGCAAGCTCGTGAACAAAGGAAATGAGAACACAGCCCAAAAAATGTTTAGGATACTTAGAAAAATATCACGGATAAATGTGATTGTTGAGAATACGAAGCGAGCGAATTTATTTTCTCCAACCAAAAGGCGTTATTTCTAGAGCCAACATACTAAACGCGCCGCGGTTCCCACTACTGCCCGCCTTGTCATAACTAACCTTATTTGCGTTTCAGTGATATTGGCACCGAAAATTTGTTTTGCTAGTACAAATAAAGGGTTTTTCAACAAGAACTTTGTTTTGTAAATCAAAATAAGACAATAAATTTAGATGACAAAAATTAAATTTTTTACTGTGTTAAAAAAGTAACAAGTCACACTGCCACCGAATCAATGAATTTATTACAAACCAAATTTCCCGATGACATAATTTCACGAAATCTGCCGTTAAGTGGCCAGCTCTCAGATTATGTTAAAGACAGAGTCTATACGAAGCCAATCGAATCCATTGCAGCCTTTAAAATCAAAATTCGTGTAGCGAATAACGAAATAGACCGACCATTTTGTCAAAAAGTGATTAAAAACTTTGATGAAAGAATCGACATCTATAACTGTGGTCGTGGTGGACATTTATCAGATATCATTTTCATTTTAAACGTTGTCATCTAAATTTATTGTTTTATTTTGATTTACAAAACAAAGTTCTTGCTGAAAAACCTCATATCAGACAGATTTATGATGCATATATGGATAGAAGGCTTATAAGAGGACGTCCCGTTTACCAAATCAGTGATGTGCTCTAAAAGTCTGGGATCCGAAGTGACAAGATTAAAAGAAGTTGTATGAAGCGGGTAGTTGATGTATGTGAGTACTAGAAAGTTGTGTCAGGATAGAGTAAGGTGGCGTTCCGTGGTCTCTGCTTACCCCTCCAGTGGGACAAGGGCGTGAGTTTATGTATGTATGTAAAAATGCCAATTACGCTGAAACTTTGTTAGTCAATGCAAGCAATACACAACGTTAGACATTGACTAATAAACTATAGTATTTAGTTGTCATAATATGTACATCGGTCAAAGCACGGAAGGAAAAAGCAATGGAAGTGCCTTAGACTTTGATTAATATCGGAACCGCTTTCGCCAAAATGCACACAAGTAAATGATAAACACTGCGAAATCTTAATAATGATTGGTTTCTAATCTAAAAAGATGTAAGAAATTCTGTATTGTTAATATAATTGAAACTTTGTCCAGTCGTCGCTATATCGTTGAAAGTTCATTTAGCTTTATTGCAAGTTACGACGTTTTGATTTATTGAAATTTTATTCAACGTGCTGCCATCTTGCGGCCAGTAGCTGGACTACGAGGAACGATTAACACCTGAGTCAATTCGATAATTAAAATAAACTTACCGTTGATATGAAATACTACTACGGGTTATATTTTTGGTGCAGTTATCATTTTTGCACTTCAAATCAGCACAATAAGGCAATTTTCTGCTATTTTAGAGAATTTACTGTACAAAATTAAAGTGGCGCTACTAGGTAA